CCACCATCTGGATACCTGAAATGTTCTTTAAATTACTTGCTCTATTTTCATTCCTGCTTTTCTCCTATCCATTCTCCACACCGTGGAGTGTTCTTCTATTTTTTAAAAATGCTTAAAAGGAATTCCTATACATAACAATAAACCAATAGAGCAATTTATAAAGAAAAAGTTATATTCTCCCCCCCAGCCCTTTCCAGTTGCAATCCCCCAAGGTAACCAACCACACAGTAAATATTTGATGTGTATGTATCCACCTATTCTTTTTCTGTGCTGAATGAAAGTGTATTCACATATTTTTGGATTCTTTTCTATTTCTTTTTTTCTTTCTTTCTTTTTTTTTTTTTAAAGATTTTACTTATTTATTTGAGAGAGAGAGACTGAGAGAGAGAGCACATGAGAGAGGGGAGGATCGGGAGGGTCAGAGGGAGAAGCAGACTCCCCGCCGAGCAGGGAGCCCGATGTGGGACTCGATCCAGGGACTCCAGGATCATGACCTAAGCCGAAGGCAGTCGCCTAACCAACTGAGCCACCAAGGCGCCCTCTTTTCTATTTCTAAAAAATGAATTACATTATATACCATGTACTGTATTGTAATTTACTTATTTTTTTTTTTTTAGATTTATTTTAGAGAAAGAGAGAGCATGCCCATGCATGCATGTATGCATGGACGTGAGCAGTGGGGAGGGGTAGAGGGAGAGGGAAAGAGAGAATCCTAGGCAGGCTCCATGCCCAGCCCAGAGCCCAACACGGGGCTTTGATTCCACAACCCTGAGATCATGACCTGAGCTGAAATCAAGAGTCGGAGGCTTAACCAACTGAGCCACACAGGTGTCTCAACTTACTTATTCTTTACCAAACAATAATATATCATGGACATTCTTTCAGGTCAATATAGAATTCTTTCCCTTTCTCTTTTTTACTTTATTTTTAAAAAAGATTTTATTTATTTATTTGAGAGAAAGAGAAAGTGAGAGACAGAGCATGAGTGGAGGGGGAGGGGAGGGAGGAGGGGCTGAGGGAGTGGGAGAAGCAAGGCTCCCTGCTGAGCAGAGAGCCTGATATGGAGCTTGATCCCAGGGCCCTGGGATCATGACCTGAGCCAAAGGCAGCGCTTAACTGACTGAGCCACCCAGACACCACTCTCTTTTTCTTTTTTAGATAGCTCTGTAATATTCCAGAGAATGGAAGTATGAAATTTAAATTAATAAGTTCCCCAGTGATGGACATTCAGTAGCATGGTCTTTTAAAAATGTAAATCAGATCATGCCTTTTTCCTTCAAAGGCTTTCCTTTTCCCACAGAATAAGATCTACATTTCCTACAATGGCCTAAAAGGCCCTGGATGATCTGGTCCTTGCCTCTCGTTAAATTCACCTTTCACCACTCCTCTCCTTGCTCACCATACCCCACACTAACTAGCCTTCTGGGAAGGTTTTTTTCCCACCTCATGGTCCCTGCATTTTTTCTTCTCTTCATCTATAAAGATCTTCCCTGACCATCCTCTACCCCAATAATCAAAATCGGGTTCCCCTCTTATACTTTCTCATAACATCTTATAAAAAACTTCACAGAATTCATTGCCAGTTATAATCACACATAAGAAATTATATTTATGTATCTGATTATTTCATCTCTGCCTCATCTACCAGGCACCATGTATTAGGACAGATACAGTGTTTTGCTGACCTCTGATTTACCGTGCTACCAGCACCTAACACAACGTTTAAAGGTAGAAAACATTTCTTTTCTTTTTTAAAGATTTTATTTGTTTATTTGACAGAGAGAGAGAGAGAGAAAGAGAGCACAAGTAGGCAGAGCAGCAGGCAGAGGGAGAGGGAGAAGCAGGCTCCCTGCTGAGCAGGGAGCCCGATGCAGGACTCGATCCCAGGACCCTGAGATCATGACCTGAGCTGAAGGCAGATACTCAACCACTGAGCCACCCAGGCGCCCCAGTAGAAAACACTTCCTGCATGAATAGATGATAGATCCCACATTGAGGAATCATTAAGCAAGTCGGATAATAGAATTTTTTTTTTAAGATTTATTTATTTATTTGAGAGAGAGAGAGAGAGCGCACACACAGTCAGAGGGAGAGGGAGAAGCAGGCTCCCCGGCTGAGCAGGGAGCCTGATGCGGGGCTCGATCCCAGGACTCTGGGATCACGATCTGAGCCAAAGACAGACGCTTAACTGACTGAGCCACCCAGGAGCCCCGCAAGTCAGGTAATAGAATTCAATGTAAATTAACTTTTATTTTATTTTATTTTATTTTTTTCTAAGATTTTTATTTATTTTTTGACAGAGACAGAGAGAGCGAGAGGGGGAACACAAGCAGGGGGAGTGGGAGAGGGAGAAGCAGGCTCCCACTAAGCAGGGAGTCTGATGTGGGGCCCTGGGATCATGACCTGAGCCGAAGGCAGACGCTTAACGACTGAGCCACCCAGGCGCCCCGTAAATTAACTTTTAAAATGACATGAGAATTACATGTTAGACGGATAAATCTAAATGAAATGATATACCTGTATACATACATATACGTGAAAACTTGGTAATATAAAGCAGTAAAAGGAGGACTGGCATGAGAGGGCACTAATTTGTTAGCGACCTAGGAAATCGCACTTCTCCGCTGGTAGTCTCTATCAATGAACGACCCTCAGCAGGTGTGGTATTGCCCCCTAGGGTTGCATACTCTAGGAGGTATTATTGGCCTTTAGAGAGCAGAGGCCCGGAACCGAGACTTCTTGCAAAACGTGGGCCTGTTCCTCAATGAAAAATTATTTTGTGTCCCTCACAACTTTGAAAAGCCCCAGTGTAGGTGAAAAACCTGTGTATGACTATCTGTACCCAAAACTTGACCTATTTTACATATGAACACAAAGCTGTTTTTTATTTTTACATAATTCTAACAGCAAACATTTTAGGAATGTCTCTACAGCGGGCACTGAGGACAGATTAGTGTTGTCCACCAGAGGTGGCCGAAAACACCATACCTCTGTCAGTTGTAGCTTTCACATTCATGGGGATTTCACTTATAAGTATAGCCACTTGATTTATGACTTGATTATATTTTCTAGAATGGGTATGCCTGAACATTTATATTGAAACAGAAACCACTGTATTATAAATTACTTCCTTTGTACTTTTTTTTTTAAAGATTTTATTTATTTATTTGAGAGAGAGAATGAGAGACAGAGAGCATGAGAGGGAGGAGGGTTAGAGGGAGAAGCATACCCCCTACTGAGCAGGGAGCCCGATGCGGGACTCGATCCCGGGACTCCAGGATCATGACCTGAGCCGAAGGCAGTCGCTTAACCAACTGAGCCACCCAGGCGCCCTCCTTTGTACTTTTTATATTATATTTTATATTTGATTTAAACCCAAATCATGCATGTATGCAGGTTATATTATCTATGAATTTCACTTTAGGCTAATAAAGGAGACATTATGAATGTATTTGTCATTTTAAAAAGGTGTGTTGGGTTAAAACAAGGTTGTGAAACATTGATCCCTTTTAGTTCTTAATGTAATGGACTCTCATCTTTAATTATGGAAAGGATTCCTTTTTTTTTGTTCTTTTCATTACTTCATGTTCCACTATAAAACTGGTAATATAAAAAACAAACACATTTAAAAAACACGGCTCCGACACTGAATGTTTTTAGATGGTTACCTAAAGGTGAGTTTGAATGATTTCTCGAAGGTTTCCTTGCTAGATAATAATTTCATGATTCTAAAATTTCAAATTTATGGTTGTGCGTTTATCACATGCTTTAAATTTTCACCAAATAATTGTTGTCTCTAGGCTTGATAGTAAAGAGACTGAAACACAAAGAACCAATGTGTTAAAAAAAAATGAAATGAAGGTTTCTCACTATGAGATTAGGTTCACAGATTTAAAATTGCAACCTCTTCCCTTATTCCCCATCTCTGTTTTAAATTTTTCATGTTATGATATACTATGCATTTTAATAATATGTTTTATTTTTATTTATTTTTTAAGATTTTATTTATTTATTTGACAGAGAGAAACAGCGAGAGAGGGAACACAAGCAGGGGGAGTGGGAGAGGGAGAAGCAGGCTTCCCGCGTAGCAGGGAGCCCGTTGCGGGGCTCGATCCCAGGACCCTGGGGTCATGACCTGAGCCGAAGGCAGATGCTCAACTACTGAGCCACCCAGGCGCGCCTTAATCATATATTTTAAAAATTGATTGCGTCCTCCCCCCTTTCCTTCACCCCAAGACAGCTAGAATAGATACAGTCATTCTTAGAATACAAACAGGGAATTTTGTGTTTTACTCACCAGCGTCTTCCCATGTATAGAACAGTGCCAGGCACACAGGATGAGCTCAGTGAATATTTATTGTATGAATGGGCGAAGAATACACGCAATGAGCAAAACTGCGTGCTTCGAGAGCCCCTTTCACCAGTCCTAAGAGACAAGCGGGAGTCACCAGGATTGTGACTCCTGATTTTTGTGATTGGGGATTCCTCGGCGCTCGTACGGATTGAGAGTACCTTCTTACATTCTTTAGGATGTACTGATGGGTGGTGGTTTGTGAACTTCATGCACAGAGCTGTCCACAGGTAGAACACCAAACTAACTTGCATCGAAGTCCACGTAATCCCAAATTTGTATCATCAGAAACCCGTTTTTGTAAGTGCACGGGTCTATCCTTCTCTTGTGCATCTGTACAGGACAATCTGGGATACTTCTTCACTGGAGATCAACGCTGAGGAGGGGATCAAGGGTGGTGGCTCCGAAATGCGCAAGCAGGGGAAACGACTTAACGCTCACTTTTCGCAAACAGACGCCAATTCAGAATGAAATTCTCACCCTAGATCAAATCCCGCGCTCCTCCTACCGGCAACCTGCCTCTACCCCGCCCCCTTTGATACCTATGGTGGGCGGGGCAGAGAGGGGCCGTTCCCGGCTCCCCCCAAATTGGTTAAGCTCGCCCGAGTTCTGGTATTCCATTTCTGAGCAAACACAGAGGAAACGGAGCAGCCAACGAAGACCGCCGACCTAATGACAGCGGAGCTTCACACGCGGACAGAGAACGAAGCAAAACACGAAGAAAGGCAGTAACCCAGCTGCCACGTGAGGCGGGCGATGCCGTCCGCCCTCCGAGCGAGAACTTCAACTCCCGCCTTGCAGCTGGGCGGTTATCCTCCGTGGACTATAATTCCCAGGGTGCTGCGGGAGCGACCGCCCGCCTCTCCTCCCGCCCCTCCCCCGCCCCTCCCGGCCGGATCGGCGTGCGCCTGCGCACCGGAGGCCGGAGGAGTCTTACCCTAATGTAAGATGGTGGCCCGTCTGGCTGTGGAACCCACCGAAAGCTGAGAGTCTGTCTCTCAGCCGTAAAGGTCGGACTCGCTGAAGCAATCAGGCCCGGTTCTGAAGAGTTTTTTCCCCGACACTCGTTCAGTGGTCTCTTGTGAGGACGCGGCAGCGCGTGGAGTCGGCTAAGGGAAAAGCGAGGCAAGGCAGGCGGGTGAGTCTGTGCGGGGCTGGGCTTAGGGGAAACCCGGGGCTGACCGGCTACGAGAGAGCGGAGGCTTCGCTGGGACTGTGCAGGCCGCACCCCCCTTTCTCCCCACCCCCGCCTCATCTTCACCCTCCTCCTTCTTGGTCTTCCTCCTCCTCCTCCTCTTCCTCCCTCTCCCCTCTACGCCACAGCAGTTACCACCAGGAAAAGGGAGCGGGGCAGAAGGCGGCGCGGCGGCGAGCACCGACTCCTTCGAAAATTTCTTCATTTGGGGAGCCGAGGCGGATTCTCGTCTCCAGCTCTCTCCCCTGCGTTTCTGTAGGGGAAGAAATCTTGGGTCTCCGTACTCCCTTGTTTCCCCAGCCCTCTCTCCCCTCCCTGACGTCCTTGTCCCCGTAGCCCCCGTCTCCCAAGACCAAAGCCATCCCTTCCCCTCTGCCCCGAGTTGCTGCTGCTCATCAGTCCCACTACTCATTGCCCACTCGTCCTGCTGTTTGTTTTTTGCTCCATTGCTGCCACTCTGGAGTTAGCCTTTGCCCCCCTCTTGTGCTTGCGGTCAGCCCCTACTCTGTCTGCCACACGGGCGCTTCTTCGGATTTGCAGTCGTTCCTTTAACCACATCTGTCATCTTAAAGCTGCCCCTTAAGTATCTAGATTATGCTGCTGCTCCTTCTAACCCACCTGTTTCACAGCTTTCTTGGGAATCGTCTGTTCCTTCCGTCTTTTCTATCCAGATTCTTTCAACATACACTTCCAGAAAAAAAGGGATGCCCCGTGTTGGCCCCTGAAAAGTCAAGTTGGGAAGTGAATTGAGTGAGGTAGGATACTCCTAAACGTTATGAGTGAAGATCATTTATTCGGCTACTCGGGAGAAGAACGTATTCTTTTGGCTTTCAGTGATCTATTTGTGGATTTTTCGCTCTGTTGGGACGTGGGGATTTTTGTGTGGTGGTTTTTTTTTTTTTTTTCTTTTTTTCCCTTCCCTTCTATTTTTGACCGGCTTCTGCCTGCTACTAAGCATTCTACTGAATTACCTTTCCCCGGGACACTTAATGTGAACTCTGATTATACCAACAAATATAAGCCTAGGCATTTCAAAATAAGATAAATCTGGCATACAACCAAATTAATCTGTGAACTCCACAAGAAAATACGAGATTTTGATGATCTGCTGGTTATATGTGGGTTACAGATCCTTTCCACATTGAAAATTGATTACTGACTGAGTTATATTGAGGATCGCTTTATTGATGACATATTTATGGTTCGGGTGGAAATTTCCTTTCCAGCCAATATCAGACTTAGTATTTTTGGATTTGGGAAGTTCTCTCTTTTAACATAAATTGTCTTCTCTCGAAAATTCACTGGGTATGTATGCAAAAGAAAAATGAATTTTTTTTTCCCCAAAAGTAAATCCCCATTTTTTTCCACAGAAAAGAAGGGGGCTGGGAAAAGAAATGACAAAGCTATACTCTTATATGCATTTGTTGGCACTCACTGTCATTATTATCTACATTAAAAAGCAGAAAACTAGGAGCAAGGGGTGGCTGATGATGTCCATTTTTTGATGAAAGCAAAATTGAAATGCCCTGACTAATGGTATGAGGAGCCTGTAATCACACCACTGTGAAATAAAGAATTATCAGAAAAACAAACAGGATTACATAGATCAGATACATACATTTCAACATTTCAAGTTTAAACATAAATAAGACACTGTGTTATATGTAAAAATGTTAAAAGTCACAGTAGCAATTTCATGCATCAAGTATACCTCTTGCAAAAGTAATAATACCTTAAGTGTAAATACAAATACATACAGTTACCCTTCTAATCACTTTTTCACATTGCTGTATTTTGATTTTTATAAATTTTACCTGTAATACTTGAGGAATCTTCATTTGGCATTCTATTTACTTGATTGTGATAAATGGTCTGCTTTATCAAATATAAACCAAGGTTAGAAGAGCTGTTTATAAAATTTCCTTCTTCTTTTAGCCACTTAAGCCCCAATTTGGGGAAACTAACTAAATCCCTACTCTCTGAGACTTGTAAGCAATTTATATAGCAAGCCTTGTCCTGAGTTATAACTTGAGGTTTTTCTTTAAAAAATTACTTGTATTTAGTTTATCAGTAGGAACATGTTTAATACAATTGATCTTCAACTCTCAGTAAAAGTACCTATCATTTTCTTTCGTCATATACTGATGGAGAAGCTCTCCACTTTGTACCTGCAAATAATACCAACACACAGGTTTAGGAAACCCTTAGCAGTCATACTTGCTGATTTGTAAGCAGTGTGTTCTAGGAGAGGACTGTTCGGCAGAAAAGTGTAAATGATTTTAATACATCTTTTGTAAAGATATTTTAGCTCACTAAATATATTCTCAAGTAATTTTCTTCACTCTATACTTTCCTCTTGCAATCATTAGATTCTTAGTTTCTGCACTTGAAAGTCAAAATGAATTCACTTTGGGATCTTTAGTACATTTGAAGGAGGTATTTAAATTTTTTTGACATTTTGCTAGGAAATTGGGAGCTGTAATTTCAGAATATTTTTGTATCATTTAAGTTTTTAGATATAACTTGAAGAACATTGCAACTTCATACTTGGTGGATTTGGTTTGTTCTTCTTTGTGATAGGTTGGAATACTTTCTGCCAGGTTCAATAGTTGAATTCTTTAGATGAATAGATGATTTCTATAGGAAGGTTTTTGAACATGAATTACTTTAAATTAACTTATTTTAAATTAACTTATTATATAAAATTTGTTTCCATAAAATTGCATAGGTAAGTCTTTAATATTATTAGGATGGGATAGTTATAATCAAATCACAAAATGCAGGAAAAGAAAATTTTGTACTGTTCTTCAGCTTCACTAGCAATAACTTTCAACTCATTGCTTTGTAAAGGAGAGTGTTGCTTAAGGATGAACTTCTTTCATTAGGGGATTTTATTTTAAAAATGATTTTAAATGGCTTAAGAGAATGAAGAAAACATTTTCTCAAGGCTTCCCTTTTCTTCCCTACTCCTGGTTTTAAGATGAAGCTACACTCTTCATTTTACTATGTGTGTGCACGTGTGTCTTGTATCTGCAAATAATACTCAGTTGAATCTATTTCAATTCATGTTATTATTTTTATAGACCATTCAAGTGAAATAGAAAGTTTTAATTTGTTAAAACTTCAGCCTCTGCTGAAAATTCAGTTAGCTTTCTGTCATTAAGTGTAGTACTGTCTTGACGTTTTGTGAAGGAAGATACATTTAGCTCAGCTGGTTCCAGAGAAAAACAGTAGGGAAATAGGTTATAGAGATTTTTCGTGTTCTAGAAATAGTATAACTAGAATGTACCACATACTTTTCTCAAAGGATTTCTTAATCTAAGTGGAGCTTGTAAATGGTTTTTATCCCACTGGAATAGCATGTATTGGATAAAATTTAACACATTCTGAGATTTAAAAAATTTTATGTACTTCAGAGATACTAAGAAAAATCTGCAAATGCCCATTCTCCTATATAAAATGTGTCAATATGTCAGTATCCCTGGTATCCTAAAGATAGTTCTAAATATTTTTTTCTTGGAAGTTGAGATTATACAAATTATAAAGATGGCATAATTTACTCAATCATGTAGTGATGCAAGGAAAGAAGATAAGTGGGACTTTTTAATCACATATTTAGTGGTTTTCTGAAGGAACTTTTTTCCAAATTGCTTTTAATCTTATTATGTGGTCTTTATTAGAAAAGAGTGTGTGGTAAATGTTAACTTTTTTAAACGTAATATAATTCAGTGGGTTTTGTCACATTTCTTTTTCATGGTATAATTCTTTTACTTTTTAATCAGAAATTAGTTTATGGAAGAGAAAATTTAAACACTGTTTTGGCCCTTGGATTAGCTTTCCCATAGCAGTTTTTTTTTTTTTTCCATGAGAAGGGGAGAACATAGATGCTACCAAAAAAATGATTACTTTTACTTGCTAGAAAAAGTTAATTTTCAAGATAGTACAAGTACAAGGGAATTTGAGGATGAGTTTATTTTTCTCCTAAGAACTGTATTTGTGAGGAAGGTTTTGTTCTTACTAAACTCTGTTTATACAAGAGGGTTGTCCTGTTTTAAACTTTAATTGCTTTGGGTGATGAGGAGATGATACGTTGCTATGAGGATAAACCTTGCTATTTGTTTATATGTCTGTCAGATATCGTTTCAAAAACAAATATGTTTTTTTAGTTATGGCAGCTAAAGTCTTACCTCTTGAGTGTTTAGAGACAGTATGGGGAGGGAAAATCAAAATAATCATATTGTTTTATTCCTAAAACCAGTCTGGAAAAAAAAATAAGTCAAGGCAAAATAAGCAGTGTAATTAGAAGAATAAAATGCCAGCATTTAAAGGTAGCTGGTGTTGCATTCCTGCTTTTGGAAGAAGTTAATGAATGATGTTGTAGGGAAAATACTGATTGAAATTTGAAAAGTAGCTATAGACTGAAATATCAAAGGGGTGGAGCGTTCCTTAGCAGCTACAAACAGATACATTGTCATTAAGCCAAATATCTGAAATTTCTTAACCATGTTTTTCAGTCTTTGGAATAAAGAGGAAGTGCTAATTTTTCTGATTATTTAAGAACCTTCTAATTCATTCCCTGTTGAGGGCAGTAGGTGTCTTCAGATCGTGAGTTTCCTGAAATAATACTGGCTGACTTGTGTTATTGAACATTGATTGTAGCAACTTTTTTTTCCTACCGTTTGTATGCTTATGACTTTTTCCTGATGTTTTTTATTTTTTGAGGTTTGGGTGGACCTTTTTGTGAATGCTGTGATTGAATGAAAATTTGAAATGTAAACAGTATTGCTTTTGGTAGTAAGATTAATTATTCTTTTGATAGAGAACCCCTCCCATTTTGATCCCATTTTTTTCCTTTAACTGGTTTTTATTCTTAGAATTAGGATGCTGCAACTTCCCTGTCAAATTAGATCTTTCCAGAAATTTTTTTCTTACTCTGAATTGGG